CTGAACAGGCTATAATGAGGTCATTGGTGCTTCCTTCCTTACAGGAATAGAGTAGGAAACAATACCCTAGAAATAATCATGTGAAGGCACAGGAGAAGGTGATCAACTGCGAGCCAAGGAGACAGGTCCCAGAAGAAATAATTAACTAATTAACCTGTCCACACTTTGATGTTGAGCTTCTAGCCCTTCAGATTGTGAGAAAGTAGATTTCTGTTGTTAGTGCTGTCTAATATGTGGGACACTGTCATGGCTTTATGAAAAGGCTACACCAAGGTTTATTTGTTGTTTTGTTTTTTACAATTTTAATGGTGGAAATGCAAACATCAAAATGATAGCACTTAGAGTAGAACTGGGAATCCAATTCAGATAAATCTCACTCTGGAATCTTTACAGAAATGGAAAATTAACTGTCCACCACCTTGGCTCTTTTGAAACGATGGCTTTAAACAATATTTAAAGGAGATTTTGGAGGACACATATTTGTCAGTGAACACTGCTACCTATAGCATTATGTCTTCTAGCCAAAGACCTGACCTGCTTCTGCATGTCCAGCTGTTTCCTCAATATCAGCCTGGAGGAAACATGGTAGATACAGGTCCTGTGGTTCCTTGGGATGTATTTGCTCATTCCTAAACATTGCTTCATGCAAGGAAGCTCCCCATAGTAGACTTGTGTGCTGGAAGATTCTATTTTCTTAGGCTATTTCAGACACTCAATGCTCTCACTAAGGTCCAGACTCTCATTTTTGAGGTGCACACTGTAACTGGGAGGAATTTCTGTCCCTTCCACCCCCCTCTGTGCTGGGAATATGCAGCACGGTTGTGGATCTCACTGTGACATCTACAATGCAACAGGGAAATAGGGTACACAGTCTGCTTTAAGGAGAATGCTTCATTCTGTAGTTCAAGTACAATACCTTAGTCTTCATGCAAATAGCTAAACACATATAGCTAGCCCTTTGAGGCACCATAAGAAAAGCCTGATGCCTGGAGTTCAAAAAAAATAAAAAAAAAATCACTCTTGCTAAAAAGCACTGGACCCATAGCTAACTTAAACCAAGAGAAAATCTTGGCATCCCTGACTCCATTTTACATTGTCTCTGAGTCTGACTCTTTCTGCCCTCCAATCACCATGGAGACCTGGAAGGACAAGTCTAATCAACGACATCATCATGATCAGGAACTGAAACCAACCCAAGGAAAAGAACAGCAGAACCCAGAAGGATGGACCACCCCTCCCATGAGGACAATTACCTATGACGATCAAGTTGCATCCTGGAGCAGGAAGAATCATCTCACAGAAACCAGATTGCTTCCCACAAGTGCTGGCAGAATAACTCATTCAAACCCCTTACAGGACCAGAATGGAGAAAAGGATCCATTTTGCCTGTGGAGACTATTTCAGTTTGCACATCTCTCTTCTTCAATTTACCTCTAAAGCTCATGTCTATATTCCAAAGCTGGGTCTGCATGCTTACTTCATTCTCCCTGTGGTGTGCCCAGGCATGTAATAAATATTTCTCTGTCTCATCAAAAAAGAAAAAAGAAGACAAGGCCTGATGTCTCAAAAAAGTTTTCCGTCTTGAATAAGAAGCAGGTTGGTTGCAGAATAGCCATTTGTATGCCCCTTGCTTCCTTCCTATGGCTGGCTCTGGCTGCTCCTGGGGTTCTGGTTTTGAGCAGCTCCAGAAGCCACTTGAAGCTCCATCATCATCACCATTATCATCATGATAGTAGTCATTACCATCTATTATAGTAATAAAAATTCCTTTTAAGCAAATTAATAAAGTGATATCTTCAGATGGGCTTCTTAGAGCATCTCTTGAGATTTTAGAATCCCTGAAGGCCCTATGTGCATGAGTTTTTACCTAGCTACAAGGGACAATTGTGACACACTAGCATTTCCCCATTCTAGAGGTGCTACACTGCCATTTCAGCTCATAAGCCTCCTTGGGATGAGCTGAAAACTGTACCCCCTCCAGGATGCTGCAGCTTTGCAGGAGCTCAGCCTAGTGAGCTGAGAGTCTTGGTGGAAAGGAAACAGGCCCTTGCCTCTGGGGTGGGGCCTCAAGAGAACAGGATGCAGACTGGACTAGAGTCGCCCCTTGCTCCTGCAGCAGCCACCTGGAGGCACTCACCCTCCAACACACACACACACACACACACACACACACACACACACACACACACACACACACACACACACACACACACACACACACACACACACACACAGCTCCAGATGAGACACTACCTTTGCCTTCTGCCTCCCTGTGATCTCTTCATGGGGTTTCCAACTGCATCCTCCAAACACACCTAGTTATTCTCTTCAGCACTTCCGCTCCTTAGTCCAGGAAGTGGGCCTGTCTTGCCTTGTTCCTGATCCTGACCTTTTTCCCCCCTTGGCCAGCAACTGAAATTATGCTGCTCTCCTTCTCCTGACTGCATGATAGTTTCTGATACCTCTCTGTGTCCAGTTGGCCAAGGTTGACTATTAGTATGTAAAATCAGATTCATTCACTAAAAAGCCAATTTGTCAGATAGCCAATATGTTCAATTGCTAAAGATTTTGTTTTGAAGTATTGACTTTGCTCTAAACTGCCTTAGCTCCATCTACAGCCCTAATAGCTGCCACAAAAATGATTTCTGAGCTGGGTGCCAGTGGCTCAAGCCTGTAATCCTAGCTACTCAAGAGGCTGAGATCTGAGGATTGCAGTTCAAAGCCAGTCCGGGCAGGAAAGCCCGTGAAACTCTTATCTCCAATAAACCACCAGAAAACCGGCAGTGGCGCTGTAGCTCAAGTGGTAGAGCGCTTGACTTGAGCTGAGAACTGAGGGACATCGCTCAGGCCCAGAGTTCAAGCCCCATGGCCGACAAAAAAATAAAAAAGATTTCCAGTGGACACACAGTAGTTTTCAGAGTCAACTTATTGACAAAAGCAAGAGCAACAGCAGAAACAGGTAACTTTGCTATCAAAAAAGAATTCCAATCTAGCCCTGGGATTTTTGTTAGGATTAAACCATAAAGCCTGGAGAAAGAAAAAAAAAAAAAACAAGGCTTTCTAAGTAGTGGGAATAAAACACTAGTATTCCTCTATAGCAAATAAACTGATCAACCTAAATGAACTGATCAACTTGCTCAGCAGATTTAATCTTGTCAAACAGCTATTCAGAGGGAAGCTGGCTATTGTTTTTGTGCTCATTACTTAGACACAGGTAGGGCGATTCCTCTGACACTGAAGCCATTGTGACTGGGTGATCTGTGGTAAGAATCTGGGATCTGGTTTTGCTGCTTGTTCCTGTCATCATTTATTGTATTTTCTCCCTCAAACAGCAATCAATGCATAAAGTCTTACACATGAAATATGCCAATCAACTGTAAGATGCATACCAATTTCAAAAACATTGAAGTGAAAAAATGTGTCTTAGCCTGATGCCAGTGACTCACACCTATAATCCAAGCTACTCAAGATGACCTGACTATCATAATTCAAAGCCAGCCTGGACAGAGAAATTCAAGAGACTCTTATCTCCAATTAATCAGCTAATATGGTAGAACTGGAAGCATGGTTCAAATAGAAGAGCGCCAGCTGTGGGTAAAAAAGCCAAGTCATAGTGGGGGGGCCCTGAATTTAAGCTTTCATACTGGCACACACATACACACACACACACACACACACACACACACACACACACACACACAAGGAATGTAAACCTGGGCAAAATTATGTACCCTCTCTAAACCAATTTCCCCATCTTTAAGAGGGGAATGATACTGTCAATTGCCTAATAGTTGTATATGAGTATTAATAAGATATCCCAGGTAAAGCAGAGAATTCCATACTTACAGGGTAGAAAATACTCAATAATTGTACTATCTCTTTCTGGCACAAGAGAACTGAGAGCCTCATGCTTGCTGAGCAGGCACTCCTGAGCCCTACCTCTTGCCCTTTGACGTGCTGGTTCTTTTTGAGACAGGGTCCCAGTCCAGAAGTACACTGGACTATAATTCACCTATTTTAGGCTTCCCACCATCACTGGGATTACAGATGCATAACACCATGTCCGGTTTCAACAGGACAGGACTTTTCTACCCCAGCTGGCTTGGCACCATGATCTGCTCAATCGGCGCTTCCCAAGTAGTTGGGATGACAAGGTGTGCTCTGTTGTTCCCAGCAGACAAAAGAAGAACAGCTGTTATAACATTTTGTTCTATCATGGGTACAATTTTCTTATATCCATGCAAACATAGCATTGGCCTCATTATACAGATTATCTTTTATGGAAGTCAACTATTTTCAGATTGGCATAACAGTTATCAAATGCCATGTGCTCTTTGTATATTTTGTTTCTCCAATTACTCTCAAATTCTTTGGGAAGTGTATTCTAATACTTTCAGAAGAGCCATGGGGACACACAAGAACCACTGCCAATGAATAAAAAAAATATGAACAGCAAGTAAAATTCATGACTTTCACATCATTGGATCAATAACATGAAATCCATTATGAGAACATAAAAGCAATAGCCCACAGCTGAGAGCATTAATTTTGCTTAGTACTCAGCACTGCAGCAGGTAAGCAACTGCAGAGTGACACAGAGTAAAGACTCTCTTAATGGAGGCTCTCTTTTTTCGGTTTTTCATAATATAGTTGCTCCTCCATATCCAAAGGCTCTACATCTCACAATTCAACCAACTACAGACAGAACCTACCCTCCCCAAAACACACCTGTAATAAACATACACATTCAATTTCCTTTTAATTCTTCCCAAAACAATACAGTATAACAACAACATCCATACTGGCTTGGATATTATAAGTAATATAGAGATTAATTAAAGTATACTAGGGGATATTAGTAGGATATATACACATAAGCCACTATAGCTAATAGACTTGAGCATCCATGGATTTTGGAATCTACAAAGAGCCTTGGGATCAACCAATCTCAAGAAGATAGTAAGGGGTAATGGTATCCAGTCCTAAAATATGCACAGTACCTAACGCAGTCCACTTGCTTCCTAGTGATTAAGTTCAAGTTTCCACAGAATGCTTCTGTCCTGAAGCTCCAGAGCAGCTGAGCTGAGCCATGTGTTCATCTAGCTTTTCCCTTGAAAGGGGACCAGCAGGAAAATTGCTGCACTCTTTCACAGCCTGGGAAGGAACAACTTCTAAGAAAAACAAGAGTTTTGTATCTTTGCCAGGAGCAATGATTAAACTCAAGAAGCAAAGGGCAAGTTTATGTTAATGCACTGTTAGACGGGCCTTGTTCAAAGTGGTCATGTGGCAATGCTTCCTCTGCTTGCTAACCCACAACAGTGTTTTGAAAACAGTCAGACCACGTGAAACAAAGCTGAAGACACTCTACATCAAGTCAGAACAGAGCTTATATTTAACTCATGACACATCCCAGATGAAGAAGAGATCGAGAATGTATGACCCTATTTTCTTCCCCAATACATTATTCCTACTGAGTTCTTTATGTGGAATAGGCACATTTTTCTCTGTCTAAAGCACATCCTTTAGGCTTATCCAATGTGCCCTGCTTGGCCATCATAATCTCCAAAGAAGAGGGAAGGTTTCTCTGAGTGGAAAGAAAGGGTTGAGAGTAAGTGAGGAAATTCAGCATGGATGTCTAAAAGATTAGCCTCATCCTTCCTTTGCCACAAAGAATCAGAAACTCCATGGATATCCTAGTCCCTCAGAGTTATCTTTTGAGAGTACAGTTGATTTGCCAGACCATGAATGACTTCCTGCAAGGACCTGGTGACACCTGGCCATTCCAGTCCTTCCTCAGAATAAGCAGATGGTTAGGACTTTGGGCCATGGAGAAGTCTTCACCTGTAGGTGGCTCTACTTTGCTGCTGAGTAACAAAAGACACTCTTAGGGATTCTTTCCTCAATACCTGCCAGAACTCTTTAAACCACGCCCTCAAGTGTCTACCTTCTTTGCCTATGAATCCACTCAACCTTCTAAGCAAGGACATCTCAACATTCTTGGATGATTTGTTTACACACAAAGTTACATTCTTCTTCTAAATGATTGAACACATAATAAGCTAGCTAAGGTGGAGAGAGAAAGAGAGAGTGAGAGAGAGAGAGAGGGAGAGTTGCCATGACTACAAATGGGAAAGAGGAGCACATGGATTCAATGTTATTATTAGCATGGGTTTGGAGCAAACTCAGCAGTTTTAGAACCAAGTGAATTCCTAGAATCCCTTCTCTCAGCTCTCTGCTTCAATTGGTATGGGATAGGATGTGAGCATCCGAATTTCTATTTTACCCCTCCTGAGGTGATTCTACTGTGTAGCCAAGACTGAGCGCCACTGTCTTAGAACATCAATTGATAGCACAAGCAGATGAAAAATCTCAAATAAGGTGTGTCGCCTGCTTTATATTCTAGAAGCACTCAGCTTGGACTTGGCTTTCCCTGATTAGAATTATAGAACTTAGATCACTAATAATTGGAGAAAACCTCAGGAAAAGAACCTGTTTTTCTCAAGAAAATTTTCCGTTTCACTTTGAGACTGATTCCCTACTCTCCCGAGAGGTAATTGGTTATTTTGATTCATACTAACATAAACTTGGTGTTTTGAGAAGGAAGTCGTGAAAAGAAACAAAGAGAATATGAGCTGTGGGTCAGGAGACACTCCCCCACCCCCATCACTTCCGTTAGCTCCCTTCCTTGTTGTCAGGGGAATACTGCTCAGTCACTGTCTCAGCCACACATTTCCTGCCCATGGAAGGAGTAGGCGGGTTAAATATACTCCAGAGCATCTTCCAATGTTGTTATTCTGTGACTCGAAGAGAGTTTTCCAGTATCAGAGGAAGTGAGAGTTGCAATTACACATCCCTGTTGAAATTCCCTCCTCACTTCTCATAAGAAATTGCCCTGGGGGCTGGGAAAGTGGATTAGTGGTAGAGTGCTTGCCTAGCCTTCATGAAGCCCTGAGTTCCATTCCTCAGCACCACATAAACAGAAAAAGCCAGAGTGGTGCTGTGGCTTAAGTGGTAGAGTATTAACTTGGAGAAAAAGGAGCTCAGAGACAGTGCCCAGGCCCTGAGTTCAAGCCCCAGGACTGGCAAGAAAGAAAGAAAGAAAGAAAGAAAGAAAGAAAGAAAGAAAGAAAGAAAGAAAGAAAGAAAGAAAGAAAGAAAGAAAGAAAGAAAAAAAGAAAGAAAGAAAGATTAAGGATTCAGGTGGACCTGTTGCAACAATGAGAAGTACAAATTGTCATGTCAAAAATGAGCTTTACAATGTCGGGGAGGGGGGAGGGGGGGAAGGATTGGGTGGTGGGGGAGGGGGGAGGCTGGGAAGGGAGGTGAGGGGTAAATAAAGGAGGAGGCTGCAATGCTTGGTAAGAAATGTATGCATTATCTTGCCCATGTAATTGTAACCCCTCTGTACAGTATGTTCACAAATAAAATAAAATTTAAAAAAAAAGAAAGAAAGAAAGAGAGAGAGAGAAAGAGAGGGGGGAAGGAAGGAAGGAAGGAAGGAAGGGAAAGAAAGAAAGAAATTGCTCTGGGAAATCTGAGCCATAAGCCCTTCAGCTCTGAATGCTAGCCTGGGCTGGGGGCAGTCACAGGTCCACCAGGTCTCTCTCCTCCTTGCCTTATGTGGCAAGATGAAGACTTCATATGATTCTTGTAAAAGGCATCCATTTTAATTATAGGATGAATCTGTGTTTGCCCTGCTCTGCTGGAAGCACATGGCCTGCTCTTTGCTGCTATCTGCACAGGAAGTGGTGGAATGCGGAAGTTTACCAGATGTTAGTGTCCACATGTCTTCCTGTTCCCAGCCAGTGGAGCCCAGCCAGCTGTCGCTGTGGCACTGTGCTCCTTGCCCTGCCCCTTCTCAGCAGCCCGAGGCTGCACTGTCATCTCCAGCTTCTGCCCTTTCTGATCAGAGCTCAGGGAAGTTGGTGAAAATAAGAACACGTGTTTATTTCTTAGATCCTTTGCAGCAGGCTCTGTACTAAAGAATTCCACATTGGTCTCTTCATGCTTCAGACACTGACCAAAATCTATTGGGAGGAGATTATTTCAGATAGTGTCCTAGTACAAACTGTCCCATGTAGAGTGTAAACTCAGTGGGAAACCATATATCTGCCTTGAAGTGAAGAGAAACATGCCCTGATATGTGTGTGTGTGTGTGTGTGTGTGTGGGTGTGTGTGCGCGCGCATGTGTGTGTGTAAGTGCACGGGGGTGCTAGAGTCTGGGAATAAAAAAAAAAGAATGCTGTCAAGGAAGCAGTTTTTAGTGCAGATTGCAGAATTTTCCAGGCATGTGAGTAGAGGAGGGTATGGAGATGAGGGCATGGCTAGAAAAATACAGTCCTGTATTGTCATAGGAAATCCCTGGGACCAACAGCTGGCAGAGATCATTCTCCAGGACTGCCTTTCTGAAACTGATTCCTTGGCCTCAGTGACACAGGGAGCTATCCTATCATCTAACTTGTGCTTACCTTTATGAGGCACTGGGAACATGGATACCATATCCCAAATCTTCCCTGACCCTTCCTTGGACTCATGAGGAACTAGAACTCTGGAACGTGAAGTAAAGTGTCAACATTCTCATTTACCCATGCTTCTGAAGCTCCAATGACTCTCTGCTGTCTCAGAATATGGGTGGAAGGAATAGGATCAGAGGCATCTCCAGACTAGGAGGGGGATGGGATTCCAACATGGCATTGTCACTGTGTGCTCTTGGACCCACCATGGACCTGGAACATAGACCTCAGGGCTTTCTTGTACTTTCAGGCAATTGTCTCCTGTGGAATTGTGGTACTGGCCACTTCCACACTGCACTCCACTTAGCACCCAATGAGTCAAACATTAGGCATCTGTAGGGAACATATGTATGTATCCATGCTAAGAGAACTAACTGTGGGCACTCATCAACCCAAATCAGGAATCCAACAAATGATGCCATGCTTGTAACTGTAATTAAAAACAAGTAGAACCTAGGAAATCAAATATTTTATTGCATTTCTTAACAATATCCCAAATGACCATCTTTTAATCTTCTGCAAGCAAGACTCTAGGATGGAGCTCTGTGTTGTCTCCCACCCCATCAGTGTGGGGTTACAGGTGGTGGTGCAGAGCCTGAGCAAAAGAAATAAAAAAATAACATCTAGAATCCAGGTGCCAGTATTTCATGCCCATAATCCTAGATATTTAAGAGACTAATATCTGCAAGATAACAGTTCTAACCCTGATGCTAGCAAGTCTAAGGACTGCTTTTTTAACAACTCATTAACAGAAAACATAAAAGCTTCAACCAATCTATCCAGGGTTAAGGGGCCTGAGCAGGAGCCTCCGATGAAGAATAATAGTTATCTGCTGGGAAAGTCCTTCTAGTCTAGTGCCTGTTGAGTTTTCAGGATAGGGAACTTGTTTTGCCATTTGAATATTAAACATCATTCAAAAAATTATCAATACAGGCCACAGGCAGCTCTGACAAGAGCCAATGAGATGTATACTTACATCAAGTCACTCTGAAGGCCATTTACTATCTGCAGTATGAATGTTCCTCACCCTTGTGAGAGTAAAATCCCTCACATTTTGGTAAAACAAAAGAATTACTGACATCCAATGAAAACACATAATGAGTCTGTCAGGAGAGCACAGTACAGTTGGAAGCTTTTGTTCCCAGGCTCTCCATACACAACTGGGGGTACTGAAAGAAAAGTGGAATGCACCCTTCACCAAGCCAGATACCCTGACAGCGATGTACCTGCTCCAATGGCAGGATGTCTTTTACTAATTCTTAAGAAGGTTTTGCAAGGATTACAAATAGCCTTTCTTCTTCTCCACCTCCTCCTCTTTCTCTTCCTCTTCTTCTTCCTTCTTCTCTTTATTTAAATACAATTATCCATTTATAAATAAAGTTGATGGCTTGCTTATTTTCAGTCTAATAATAAGTTTGGGAATTCTTGGAGGGTGGGGATGTGAGGACGGGGTTCTGGCTCCAGCAGGTTCAGCTTCTCAATCATTACCTCTGTAAGTGACTGCTTCAGAGCTGAGTACCTGTCCCTAGGTCTCTGAGCAGGCCTTACAGCATCTAACAGGCAAATGATTTCACACAAAAAAAATAAAGAAATAATGCCTCAGCTTAACTCTATGCCAGGCCCACACTTCGACCTGAATCCTGAGATGTCCTTCCCCAAGGGTCTTCATTGGACCTTAGCCAATATACCCTGGGAAGTTCCATTTTCACTGTCTGAGACCATACAGAAATAACACAATTGCCTCATGTGTAAAAGCCTCGTGTCACACGTGTCCCTATGTGTCTCTGTTGACCCTTATCTTCTGAAAATTCCTCTGATTTATTTACTACGAAATGTGTTTCTCCCCACAAATGTCCTTTTCAAGACTCTCAGAGAGTACTTTGGTTTTCCATTCAGGTAGATGAGAAGCAGCAAATGCTGGGCCTGTCTCAGGCTATCCTAGCAGTACTTCTGGAACCCTCAAACATCTGTTTTGGTCTTGGGCTCCTTCATTGATTTTACAAATTCTTTGACTTCTTCTTCCAAGACTTTGTTCCTCCTCTCGACATCCTCCCGAGAGCGTTCCACATTGCGGAGGCTGATTTCCAATGCAGCAAATTTCTTCTTTTCACTCTCCAGCTCTTCATTGAGTCTTACCACCTTAGCCCAAACATCGTAATTTTCCTTCTCAAGACTACAAAGGAAAGAGAAGTTGTATTCATAACTGTTTTGTTACATGACAACCCCTTTGTACAACCACTTAAATTTAATTAAAAAAAATAAAGAGAATAAAAAAGGAAGTAGGACTTAAGAAGAAAGAAAGAATGGACAAATGAAAGAACAAACAAATGAAAGAAAGAACAGGGTGTTAATTGTAGATTTTCCCCTTCGCAACTCTATACTCTTGTTTAGAGGCTCTTGTTCATTTTCTTTTCCAAAACACAAGACCCAAATCCAACGGATGCCTTTTTCTCTGTCCTGCAGAAGACTTTCCAGCCAATCTGGATTCAAAGAGCAGGTCTAGGCCTCGCCTTTGTCATTTACACCATCTTATGGCATCTCTTAAGTTACTATTCTGCATGTCATTTCATGTTTTCTATCTTCAATCAGATAATAAGATCTTTGAAAGAAGGGATCATTTCTGACAGATTTGTATGTCTACCCCTATAGCAACTTAACATCTGTCCTGTTCAAAAGAATCTGTAGAGGCCACATCCATATTCCAGATTCCCAACATTTCTGGGGGATTCAGGTGGTATGATTGGAAATTTGCCTCAGAATTTCATTCTGTTGAATACTGCCTCCCTATTCCTTAAACCACTTACATGTGTCCTTCAAACTTGAGTGCCCATTTTAGCCCTTATCTCAGTCGGATATTATCTTTAAGGACCTTGACATACTCTGCATGTAACAGCCTTTCCTCAGAGCCTTATCTGTCCCTCTATACCTCTTCTTAGAGCAAAACTAATTTCATTCCTTTTGACCTTTACATTCCAAATCTAGTTTTCTTCTCCAAGTTCTCCAACCCTTTTGGCTGGGAGAAAACCCCAGGTGAGATATTATGCTAGAACCTAAGCACTACTTCTAGTGGACAGGTAGTGTTTGTGTGGGTTCTAGAGTCTGGCTGACCTATGTTAAAATCCCAACTCCATCAATGTCTGGTCACATGACCTTCAGGAATGGTTTTATACGTCCTGAGTTCCATTTCTCCTGGGAAATGAAGCTGCTACCTACTCTATAGAATTGTTGTGGATATTCAAGATCTTTCTTACACATAAAGCTGTTCTGATCAAGAGCATCCACCTCTGGTGCAGCTGGTTCTTTTCCTATCAATGATACTCCTCTGCTAGAAAGAAATGGGAGCTTTCTCTGTAATAGCTTTGATCATAGCCAAACTTTCACAGAACTCATCATTCCACAAATGATCGATTTCAGGGTCTCAGACAATAGAGCTGCCTTTTGCTTATAGGGTGACAGAGATCTGTAGGAATAATGGGTACAGGCTAACAATAATCTTCCTTTTAGGTACCTAAGTGGGTGAAGACTTCTTTAATCATTCTTATAGATGAAGTATCTATAAATATGGAAATCCATGAAGGTGCATTTCATGGCCTTATTACTAGTGTGGATATGGGCAAAACTGGTTGGGGTTATCTCTCATGATAAAGAAGTTGCTGAGAAATCGGTAATGTCATAAAAGGTCCCAAGAAGATACTACCTACTCCACAGAGCAGATTGTAAGTATAAGCATCTTAGGAACTGCATGAGACTGGGGCATTAGCTGCTTAAGGGCTCCCACTTGTGTTTCCCCCTGTAGCCTGTGTTTAATAGGAAACTGGTGAGTAGCTGAAACATGTCAGGTGGAAACTTCAGATGCTTCCGTCTTAAACAGGCTTTCTGATGGTTAAGATAACCCCACTTGGTCCTGGACTCCTGTACTTTTCCTCCTTGTCCTTGTCTCCCCCTGCTCCAGATACTTCCACCCATCCTGTGCATGAACATACCAGACCTGCTTTCTTCTTGTGATTCTCTGCACCTTGGCTTCTTTTGGCTGGCATGTTCTTCAATCTGGGCCTGACCTTCCCTCACCTTCTTTAGCCTTTTACTTAATCACCACTGTCTCTCTATTTAACATTAGAAAATGGACGTCCTGAATTCTCTAACCTCCTGACTTAGTTTTTTCCATCTGATATAACATGTTCTGCTACATGTGTTTTATTCCTGTCCACTCTCACTAGAAGAAAGCTCTCTATAAAACAGGGACTCCTCTCTTGTCTTCTTCAGTGCTGTTCCCAAGGTCTAGATTATTGCTGGCCCATTGGAGATGCTTTAAAAATATTTAAAGAATCAATGAATGACATTAATATGAAACCACTGTAAGTTTTTCTGATTTCATTAAAATATACTGAGTCTTAAGGAACCACTTGGAAATTGTTGGAAATTGTTGGTTAAGCTCCTTAGGCAAGATATTTGAATTTTCATAAATCTAATCATAAGTTTAGGATTTTCACTCAAGTAGCCATTTAAGCACTCCTCACCTTCTTCCTTATTAGACCCAACTACTATGGACTATTGTCTTTGCTAAACAGTTCATAATGTGACTCCCCATTGCTTCCAAAAGATGGAAGCCAAGTGCTTCCTAGTGCTCCTCTGCATGGAACTTACTTTTTTATCTGCTCCTCATACGTTTGCTTCTGTATTTCTATTTCCTTCCGTAGTTCCTGGACCATCCTCTGCAAAGAATCCAGTTCTTCTTCTCCAGAGTTTTTCCTTCCAGGCCCCATTTCAGAGTTTGTTCTGGAGTCACAAGCAGAGGAAGAAGACGGAACACCTGCTGTGCTCCCAGAGACCTCTGGCAGGACAGGGACATTATCATAGGTGGAAGTCCTCTGGGAGTCAGAAAGATGGCGCAAGTCCTGAGACATGGTTCTCCTGTGCCCTTCCCCTGCCTTGGCCCCTGAAGACCAAAACTCATTTTTAAAGACCTCTACTTTGTTGTTATTAGCACTTTGAAAAGCTGATGTCAAGAAACATTTCCGGTTAGGGAGAGTTTGAGTCCTTTTTCGAGATTGTATCTTCCAATCTCCTGGCTTTTCCCTAGGGGCTTTGCTGCTGTCCTCTTGTTGCTGGTCACTTGGCTGTATTCTAGTGGGACTAGTAGCATCCAAATCACTTGTCTAGAAAAAAATATTCATAGTGTTACATAGGTTTTCCCACTCACATATTATGTCCCCAAGATTAAGAATTAGAGCACTGCAAGAAAATGTGCATAGTTGCTACTCTCAGAAGACCATTACTTGTCACCTTAGTTTATTATCTGTATGGAAATTCTTCATAAGAATATTGCACTTAAAAGTTGTTCATCCTCTAGAGATGAAGTGCTGACTAAAATAATTTGTTTGCTTATGGTGAAAGAATAACTAAGGAGGTCTTTGTAACTATGACACACAGCCCAGGAATTATATAGAAAAGTTCAATAAATTTAACTGACACTGATCTGATTTCCATGACCTCCCAAATAAAAAAAAAATAGTGAAACAAGCAAATCAATCACCCCATACTAAATCAGTAAAATGAAAATGATCCCAAAGCCAAATGACAAACTGACAAAAATATTTACAATGTCTACCATAGGCAACTTTCCCTAATATATAAAGGGATACGCCTAGTAGCTATTCTCCATATTATATAAAGTTAATAAAAATTAGAAAGAAAAAGACTAACAACCAACATACAAGTATAGGACAAGATTAGACAGTTCACCAAAGGAAAAATGCAACTGGCTCATAGATGTAAAAAAAGCTTTTCATGGGCTGGGAAGGTGGCTCAGTGGTAGAGTGCTTGCCTTGCAAGCCTGAGGCCCTGGGTTCGATTCCTCAGCACCACATAAGCAAAAAGAAAAAAAGCTGGAAGTGGCGCTGTGGCTCAAGTGGTAGAGTGCTTGCCTTGAGCTGAAGAGCTGAGGGACAGCACCCAGGCCCAGAGTTCAAGTCCCACGACCGACAAAAAAAGAAAAAAAAAAGCTTTTCATAACGGTGGAAACTCATTCTTATTAAAATCATTACTACCTATCAGTCTGGTAAAACCCTCAAATTTAGCAATACACTCTGTTGTGATATTGCAGGGAAACATTATTTCATACATTGCTTTCTTATGGAAGTACAAGATAGCACAAACTCTTTCAATATTTATCATTAAAATTACATATTCAAGTCTACTTATCTGACCCAGCAATCCCATTTCTGGGAATTTATCCCAGAAATTTATCTACCTGCATACATATTGAAGCCTTGTGTAGGACTGAAAATAATTATGGTACAGGAAAACAATGGAACACTATATACATACAGGCCAAAAATGAAGTTACACGGGTAGGCTATTTATGCATAGATATGGAAAAACTCTCCAAGATAGATTGTTACATTTAAAAATATTCAAGATTCAAGTGCTAGATGGGGAGAACAGATCAAGTGGTAGAGTACCAAAATATAAGCACAAAACTCTGAATTCATATGCCAATACTTCCTGTCCCCTACAGCAAGATTCAGAGTAGAGAAGGCAAGAGTAAAAAAGTAAGAGACAGATACACAGAAAGAGAGAAAACTAGTATATTTGTGTAAACAGGGAAGTAAGGGAACAATTATATTTGCATAAAGAAACACTAGAAGGATAAGAAACTTCTAAAGGCAGGCAACAAGGATGGATACTGTGTGTGAGAATATGAGAACAGAATTGAGGGTAGCCTATTTTCTATCTTTTGGGGGTTTTGAACCAAGTGAATATACTACTTTAAAGAGTAAATTGTAAAGGCAAAAAACACCAAAGAGGATAAAAATGAACTTAAAACATAAAATGGGAAAAACAGGGGGCTCAAGCTCTCTTTCTGCCTTCCAATTCATTACCTGTTTCAGCAATAACAGCCTACTTCTTCCCTGTCATAAGCATCTGGATCCCTAAAGAAGGAACTAGACTTAAATCTTGCCTAAAGAACTGTAGTGCTGCTATCTTGGGACAACTGGTCAACCTCCCTGATTTTGGATTCTCAAAGAATGTAGATAAGGGTGTCATTTATGGGGAAGACTCTAGAGGTGATACATTTAAATTTCCCAGCACAATGGGTGCCCATAAAAAAACAATGAATAACAGACATCTATTAAATGAGCATAGCAAGGACTTTGCATGTGTATATGAGTGTGTGTGTATGAGTGTATGTGTGTGTGTGTGTGTGTGTGTGTGTGTGTGTGTGTGTGTGTGTGTGTGTGTGTGTGTGTGTGATTTCATTACATAAAGAACAGGCTTTTCTAAATTGCAGTTTCATTTTGAACAGTTAGTAAAATATACCTAGATAAGCATCAACTAAGAAAAACTATTATCTCTAAAACTACTACCTTTTACTCCCATCTTCAAGAGCACTGTAGGTAACTTATCTAGTTGACCAGAAACACTGAACACATTCCTTGGCCACACATGACAAATTAAGCTTCTATACAAAGTTCACATTCTTTACTTTAAAAAAAATTCCTATGAATACATATAAGTATTTGACCTTTGCAAATTATTGCACTCAAGTTGTCTACATTTTGGAATCTGCAGAGTTTGGGGACATTGGGAACGTGAGTTCCAAGCCTTCTGTACAAATGAGGGGCTGACATTGCCGAGAAAGCTTATCAGGGAATGAGAAATACTACACGAACACATCACATAACTCTGAGAAAGAAATCACGTTTCAGGGTTTCAGCAGGAAACCAGTCCTCTCTGGACTTCCACCCAGAGTTTTCAACAACTCTCACCAAAGTATCTGCAATGCTTTATCTATTTCCTTCCACTGAACTTCCCTAGACCATGCCTGAGAGGTCTCTCTCATAGGGTTTCAGAGAAAACCCCATTAGTCAGTCTTTGAACAATTGGCATGCCACTAATCTCACCTCCAGAGCATTTCTGACAGAGACTAAATTTTGAAAGAGACTGGGCTTCCAAGATATGTTTGAATAGGTCTGTACCAGCTATGCCCACTCTCATAGTATCACCCATAACTCCCCAAGTTGCCAGCCCAGAGTAGCCTTATGTGGAATGACCTGACTAAAGGGGGCAGGAAAGTTCTGTGAGTCTTACTGTGTTAGTGACACTTTCTGTCCTGGAAACTGGAGAGTCTTCAGTAGCATCCCAGCCTACAGAACTTCGTGGCACTGGTGGTTTCTTGGGATCATTTTTCTGGACAGGGGGAGACAGTGGTGCATCCTTGGACTTGGGAAAAAGGACTTCATGGTCTCTGATCATCATTGTCATCACTCTTTGGATCTGTGGAGTTCCTGATGGAAAGAGGCAAAAGATGTATTATGCTAGACCAGAGATAGGAGGCAGATAGCTCTCCAGGGTTGAACTTAATGAGATGGCTGCAGACTTGGCCCTACACACTCCAAAAGATTTCATTTTATCCCCTTATAGGACCCTTCCTAGTTGTTTAGTAGATTATGATGAGAAGGCTGGAAGAGAGGAAGGGTACAGAAGTGATGCTAATGAAAAAGTTGTTAAGATTATTCTCAGTCTACACTGTACCATATAACCTCTTGATCAGGTAAATAGGCCATTTAACAGGGGGGGGGGGGAAATGGAGACATTTTTCTGAGATCTTCTGGGCTCTATCTCATTAAAGATACCTACCAGTAATAATAAAAGACTAGGAAACACTCAGTAACTATTTTAGAGTAAGATTACTGTGTTCTGTGATCACTAGAAAAATCCTTGACCCATAAATTTCATCTCATAAGACTAGTTATGCGGTGGAGATAATCAGCTGAAAATGAAATACAGACTGAAAACTGCAGAGCAGTGCATGAACACAAGGGGCAGTGTTGTCACTGTTACTTTTTCTGTTCATCATCGCGAACCAGCCTATTTACCTCTCATAATCACAGCAGGGTCTTCAACCTTTGACCTGATGAGGTTCACACCAATCACGGTAGCCAGATTGTCCACACTCATCTTGTTAACAGCGCAGTTCAGCTGGATTTCATGTAGAAACCTGTGGTTAGCCAAGAAATCCCTTATAGAAAACAGGAAGTTGCCAGAAGAAAGCACTTCCAGGTACAAATGGTGTATTTATTGGATTCCAATTTTTTTCCCTCCCATTTGGAGAGTCGAACTGGACTGTTCTGCCCACAGGAGTTTATATTTCATTTGGAAAATCTAAGACCAAGGAGGGAAGAGAAACGATACAGGTTACCAAGCTGCTGAAGGCACGTCAGTGACTGAGTTTGGAGAATCAGACAAGCAGGTATCTAGATCCAGTTCAGGGAACTAAGAGGTGACTAGAAGAACTAAAATTGGTATTTGAGTGCCCCTAGATCCTGACTTTGAAAGACTTTATAGGTATAGTGCCTCCATATATATGCATATTTTTATATAGGAGTTTATAGGCATCTTGTCTTCAGAGAGGAGTAAGTTATCAGTGAGAAGTCTTAGAGATAAGGCCTCTTTGCTCTATGCTTCAGTTAGAGTAACAAGTATCTCTAACTCTCAGCAGGTGCTCAGTAACTAAAAATTCACTGGAGACGTGAATCTCTCAAATTCACTGTTAAAGAAACTGAAAGAGAATTTCTAGATATTTTTCAAAAGATGTAAAAAATGGATAGATTGAAGCAATGTAAACTCCAAATATGGAGAAAATGTTAGTGAAATAAATCATCACATCAAAATGATGAAAAATTATGAAGCCAAATATAATCTTATTTTATGACACAGGGAAATGCTCACAATATAACAGTAGCCAAAAAAAGGACACACACATGCACGCACACACACACACACACACACACACACACACACACACACACACACACAAAGGCTGATCTTGCTTTTATTCCAATTCAGCAAAATGCTCTACCAACTTTATAGTTATGTTTGAAAAGCATTTAGAAGGACATATGTTCAAGAATTCAGGTATCATTGCTGGACTAGGGGTTGAAGTTGATGTTTATTTCTTGTTTATGATTTGCTGTATCTTCCTAGTTTTCAAATCAGGTCAAAAACTACTGTTCTAATTTGGGAACTATATGTCACTATTCTTTCAAAAAAATGAAAGACAAAATTGAAGACAGTGTGAGAGGAAGACCCAGGTTCCCAGTCCAGCTGACCTATGTCAATCTGTCTGTTAGGTGTTTCTCCAGGGACAGCACAGAGATTGTCCCAGAAAGGGTAGCTCAAAATCAATTCATTCAAAGCATTAGGTTGGTCTCCAGTGAGAAAGACCAGAGATATAAGGAATCTGGAGTGCCTTGCATATTCCAGGATTACAGCACTGAGAAGGGGTGTGTTTCATTTTGTGTGTCAATCAGGTTATGAGTGAGTCTTGAAATTATCTTGTGGAAACAGAAAGCTTTCTCAATACTATGTGTGTAGAGATGAATTTTCAAAGTCCTAGACCGGAATCTGCTATCTCAGAGAGAGTCTTTCTTTCTTCTTCTACCCAGTGAATGTTTCCTGATGTGGCATCTCACCTGCAGATGTAGCTCAGGAGACTATAGTTGTCACGAGGAAGGTTGGAGAGCTGCTTTATCAACTCCTGTTGAGCCTGGGAAGAGATTTTTGATAATATTAAGAGCTGTTGTTATTCACCAGGAAGGGGAACTGGGAATAGAATTGGTAAATCTATATGAATACAACACATTGGCCAGCACCCTATTCCTACAGATTTGTGAGTTTAAAATACACAAAAAAATACACATATATATTGCTGGGAGTTGGTGTCTCACACCTATAATCCTATTTACTGAGAAGGCTGAGATCTGCAGATTACAGTTCAAAGTCAGACTGGGAAGTAAAGTTCATTAGACTGTTATCTCTAATTAATCACCAGAAAACCAGAAGAGGCACTATGGCCAAAGTTGTAGAGTGCTAGCCTCAAGCAAAAGAGTGCAAGGACAGCATCCAGGCCCTGAGCTCAAGCCCCACCGCAAACAATAAAACAAAAACAAACAACAACAAATTATACAAACATGTAAAATATGATAGCTTCTCAGAAAGTTGCAAGAAATAGTATAAAGAGGGTCTCAGCTTTTTTTTTGGGGGGGGGGAGGTCTGGTCGTGGGGCCTGAATTCTGGGCCTGGGTGCTGTCCCTCAGCTCTTCAGCTCAAGGCTAGCGCTCTACCACTTGAGCCACAGCACCACTTCTGGCTTTTTTCTTTTTGCTTATGTGGTGCTGAGGAATCGAACCCAGGGCCTCATGCATGCAAGGCAAGCGATCTACCACTTCCACCTTCCCAGCCCTGGTCTCAGCTTTTATATACTATAGTTTTCAGACTTTGTAATTAAACTATCCACCCTACTCTCAAACTTGAGCTTCTCTAAGGCACAGATTCTCTGACAATCTACATTCTCAAACCCTGGGTTAATTAATGCAAAAATGCAATGATCCAACAAGAACTAGATGACAATCAATTATCTAAGAATCACTTTCAAAGTTGTGAGGATAACTACCTAAAGAAAATAAAAATGAATTTTTTAGAAAGTCATGAGGAAAGGAAGATTCTTTGTGAATATTTCCAAGCACTGTGGCCTTGCTGAGTTCTGCTGGGCCACAGGGCTGAATTGGCCCAGTGGGAAGAGAGAGGAAAGTTCTGCAGTGGCTTTGAGTGTCAGGTCTCCTCATTCAAGGAATGCAGGCGACAGGGAACTCTTTGCTCTTTTCATCCACAGCTGCCTGTTGGGTCTGAAATCACCATCTATACTATCCTGCTTGTGAGAGTACTACAGGCATTCTTTAGAGCCCAGCACTCCCTGGACACCAATGAGCTGCCATGATGATGAAAACATGCCCTGAAATCTCATTCACTCACATCCCATCCCTACTCCTGTGATGTAATCTCTCTAGCCGAGAGAGAGTGCTGGAGAGAAGTGTGGTGAGAAGTCTCTTCTTCTGAGACAATGGATTCTTTGCAAAAGTTGCTATGTCTCACTCCTTCCAGAGACCATCACTGCCAGATTTTTCTAGAGGGGAACATATCAGACTGTCAAAGACCTCAAGTAGGGGCTGGGAAGGTGGCTCAGTGGTAGAGCGCTTGCCTTGCATGCTCGAGGACCTGGGTTCGATTCCTCAGCACCACATAAGCAAAAAGAAAAAAGCCGGAAATGGCACTATGGCTCAAGTGGTAGAGCGCTAGCCTTGAGCTGAAGAGCTGAGGGACAGCGCCCAAGCCCAGAGTTCAGGCCCCACGACCGGACCCAAAAAATAAAAAAATAAATAAATAATCTCAAGTAGGTGGAGGCTAGGAGACATTGGAAGAAGCAGGTCTCTCATGGGAAAGCGTGGGGAAGGAATATTGCCAAAAGGATCTCAGTGTCTCCTTTTCTTTCCCCAGAATGGAGGGGTGAGATGAATATCTGCCTTTGCAGCTGAATTTTAAGCCTTATTCTCTAATGTGTTGCTGCTTTCACAAAAGTGAACTGATACATCTGTATTAATGAAGACTTTTCCTTCTTCTTTTTCCTCCCCTAAAAAATTTACAACTCCTATATAAAGTGTCTTCTATCAGATTATGTGATCTGATTTTTGTTTATAACTGTAACATCTTAGATACCATTACTGTTCTCTTTCTGTTCTAATTCCAAATGTAAGATTGCCTTATTTCTTGTGCCAGGACCTACTCAAATCATAATGTTTCCTACTGTTACTCAAGATACAGATGCTTTCATCTGTGTTTTCTCACAGGAGAGATAGGCACTATTTATCTTTTCATATGTACTTTTATGTAGTCTGTGAAGCAAGCTATGCAACTAACGTCACTCGAGTGTGTTACCTTCCTTGGTCACCTAACAACTCATATCACAGTGGATATGAGAATTAGATTAAGTTGTTGCTGTGCTGTCTAATACAACAGTTATTAAAACTGAAATAAATTAAAATTAAATAAAGGTACAACTTTGCTTCTTCAGGTTCATGAGCCACATTCCGAGTGCCCAATAGCCATATATGGCTGGTGGTGATCACATTAGACATTGCAGATATACAACAGTTCCATCATTGAAGGGAGTTCAATTGGTCTAACTAAATAAGTTTAATTTCATTATGTCAAATGGCAAAATCAAAGTTAAATCTAAGTGGTAACGATCACAGGTTTTGCTGTATACCAGCTTGCTAGAGAGAGTTTGTGACACTGCCAGGACCAACAACAACAAAACTGCACTTAGTTATAATAGCAAAATGGCATAAATATATTTATGGGCCTTGGTGTTAAAAATCTCAATTAAAAGGTGGGTACTGGTGGCTCATGCCTATAATCTTAGCTACTCAGAGTCTGATATCTGAGGTTCGTAGTTCAAAGCCAACATAGGTGGAAAAGTTTGTGAGACTCTTAACCACCAAAAAGCTGAAAGTAGAGATGACTCAAGTGATAGAGTGACAGCCTTGAGTGAAAAAGCTAAGGGACAATTCCTAGACCTGAGTTCAAGCTCCAGCGTGTGCACACACACACCTACACACACACATGCACACGCACACACACCCACACACACACACACATCATGAAGGTGTTACCATCAGTTGTTAGTTCTCTAGTTGTTAAGTGCTTGCACTCTCAGGCATGATATTACAGACAGAGATTATTGACCCATGAGCAACAGTAGCTGAAAAAGATCGAAGAACAGTTCCCTGTATGTCCTCTCTAGGGCACATGCATTCCTTGAGCAACCACATGTGACATCCATGTCCATCACAGAACTGGAGCTGCCCTCCAGCTTGGCCAGCTTGGCCTTGTATCCCTGTGGGTCTCATCAAGACCACAGTACCTTTTCCATCATTTCATTTTAATTTTTGTCGTTCTACCATTTGAACCACAGCTCTACTTTCAGCTTTTGAGGGGGTGGATAAGTGGAGATCAGAGTCTCACAAACTTTCCTACCTAGGCTGGTTTCAAACCACATTCCTCAGATCCCAGCCTCCTTAGTAGCTAGGATTATAGACATCAGCCAATAGCATCCAGATCTATCTATCTATCCATCCATCCATCCATCCATCCATCCATCCATCCATCCATCTATCTATCTATCTATCATCGCTGGTCCCCAAGCTTGAACTCTAAGCATGAACATTGTCCCTGAGCTTTTGTGCTCAAGGCTAATGCTCTACTACTTGAGCGACAACTCAACTTCCTGACTTTTCTGGTTAATTGAAAATAAGAGTCTCATGGACTTTCTTGTCTGGCTGGCTTTTCAAACCATGATTCTCAAATCTCAGCCTCCTGAGTGGCCAGGATTATAGGACTAAGCCATAGGTGCCCAACTCCAGTTCTACTATTATTTTTTAAGTGAGTCTGACATAAGTGATTAAGATCCATTCCATTCCTTTCCTTTTTTATTTTATTAAATTTATTTTAAATCATCTTTAACTAATTATACAAAGGAGTTTCAGTTCAATATGTCCATTTATGAGTACAATGAATCTTGATCAGTGTCACCTTCCATCATTCTCCTCTCCATCTATCCTAACCCCAGCTATCCCTTCAAGAATCCTTTTCTTTGCTGGATTATGACATCTCATGAAGTATGGAGTCTGGTCACCACCATCAGCACCACCTACCATCTTTTGCTGGTAAGTCCCAGATAAAGAATCTCACCAAAGTGCATAGGGATCCCTGACCCATTGTCACCTACCACAATAGTATTCTGAAACCAGCTGCTTTCTTCTAAAGCAGAACAACTAAATAAGGAGACACTAACCTTTGCCTCATCTGCATTCATGAGCTGCCCACAGAGTAGGAACCCCTCATACTGGCTCCAAGGAACCACTGGCTCTGGGAGGTCTCGGAGGTAGAGTTTGAACAGCGAGGCCACGGTGTGCACATCTGTGTCTCTGGAAGAAAATAAGCAACATACTTTGAACAGGAAATTCCATAACTCTCTTCTCTTCCACCTGCTACATAGTCTACTCCGTTGAACCATGGGCTCCAGAGGACAGTTTTGGTTGAGTGCCATCACAGCCAAACATTTTTTTGCTAATTTGTACTTTTAGTGCAACAACCCTGCACACTTCTTTCTCTGCATCTTCCAACCCATTTTCTTTTCTTTTTCTTTTGTTTTGGGGGGGGGGGTCCGGTCGTGGGGCTTGAACTCTGGGCCTGGGCGCTGTCCCTTAGCTCTTCAGCTCAAGGCTAGCGCTCTATCACTTGAGCCACAACGCCACTTCTGGCTTTTTTCTTTTTGCTTATGTGGTGCTGAGGAATTGAACCCAGGGCCTCAGGCATGCAAGGCAAGCGCTCTACCACTGAGCCACCTTCCCAGCCCCCAACCCATTTTCTTAAAGGTAAAGTCAAGGCCCACTTTCCCATGAAACCTCTTTTGACTATTTTGGTCTTTGTTGCTTTCTACTTTCTTTAAGTCACTCAGTACCTCACAGCACTGTCAAATTAGTCTGTGATGTTTACGTGTTAACCTCTTTATATCCTTAATGCACCTCTATCTTTAATCTCCCACTGCGCTTATAATGAATGAGATCCAGTCATGTATTTTCCCCATAATTCATTCAATCAGTAGGCAGTGTAGTTTTCATTGCTACATTTTTTTAGTACCATTGTTTTGCTTTTGGACAGCACTGGGATTTCAGTAGTAAATCCCAAGGGACATTTGGGGACCTTTGGCTTCATCAGGCCACAGAGGGGACACAAGTGTTATCAAATCCTTACAAAATTGTGTGGCTGGTGCCATGGTATGAGACTCTGTCTGGTATGGAAAGTGCATTGGATAGATGTGTAGAAAGTGATGCCCAAGGAGAGGGGGGACCAAGATGGCGACGGGGCAGTAGGGAATCGCCACAGCTCTCTCCAACCAAAAAGAGAGTTCAAGTTCCAACCTTTAATCTCCCCAAGAGACCGACAACAACAAAAAGACGAACACTCAGAGAAAAACCAGAGGTGGAAAATAACAAAAAAAAGAAAGAGAGGAAAAGAAGAATTTCAGAACAGAGAAGAGCGAAGACCCCTCCCCCAACCTTTACTGGCCGCACGGCAGTGCGCCAAGCCGCCGGCCAGCCGGCCCGGCGGGGGGCTGCCGGAGCCACAGAGACACAGGGGGCTGCTTGCAGATCACCAGGTACCGGATTGCAGAACAGCAGATCGCCAGGAACAGAGAAACCTACCAGCCGGGAGTCTCCACGAGGATCCCACCCCACCCATCACTCTCCACCGGAGCGGAGAGGCTCCATCCCGCCAAAGCCGCCCGGCACCAGCAGCGCCACAAAGGGACCTGTCCGCAGACCACCCGCCCAATCGCGATCGCAACGACCCGGCGGGGGGCCGCCCAACCCAGCCCGCAACCACCCCAACTGAACTCGGATTGCAACAACAACTGACGGACTGCAACAACAACTGACGACCTACAGGGTGAGTACCCAATAGGGGACAGTGAATCCCTCAAGGGAGACCAGAGCTGGAGGGAATCCCCAGACCCTGACCTAGACTCCCTACCCCAACACCCGGACCACAGGACCCACTAAAACTGGGAACTGTTGGAGAGCTCCACCAGCCGGTGGAGCACACCCTGCTGGCCAGGCCAGAGCAAGAGCGCCCCTGGAAGGGAGCTTAAATGCTCAAGCCAGGAACAGTGCCCCTGGGTCAAGACTACCAACAGTAGAAGAAATTTGAACTGTGTCCTCCAGGCTGCATAACCAAGGTGGTATACACATTAGCACAGGCCTAACGAGCGCGCTCCAGGCTGGGGCCGGAACCAGGCCAGGGGACCGGCGCCTGAACAAAGCAAAAAGGGTCAGAAGTGGGGCTGTGGCTCAAATGGTAGGGTGCCAGCCCTGAGCTGAAGAGCTGAGGGACAGCACCCAAACCTAGAGTTCAAGCCCACAACCAGCCCAAAACAAACAAACAAAAACACATCAGGAGCCCATAGCAGACTCCAGTATTTGGGAGAGTGCATCCAGAGCATCTGATCTTCCCAAGAGCACCCGCAGGAGCAAACACAAGCAGTCTAGGCTGCTCAACCCTTCCAAAGGCGGGAATTGCTACAGCAGAGAGCTGAGAATCCTAAGTGAATAGCAGCTGGAAATAGGCTCCCAACAGAATCCAGATCAGGCACAGACTCTCTCTACCAATACAGAATCAGCAACCAAGCAAAGACAGACACACCAAAACAAGATTGAAGAGCAGTCTCCTGAACCCCCATGCGAAAATCACAGAGAAAAATCACAAGGTTTACCACTACCCAGGACAGCAAGCTCACCTCAAAAGCCAGCAGCCACGCAGGGGAGAGCCCCAGTGGGAGCAAAGCAGGAATGGAAGACAAAAACTACATCCAAGGGTTGCTGGAGGCAATGACTCAAGAAATAAAGCGAGAAATGGATCAGAAATTGAAAGAGCACAAGGATGAACTATCAAAAGATATACAGGATATCAAACAAAAATTGGATGCAAAAATAGAAGCTGCACAAACCTCAGTAAGAAGTGAGATAAACGCCAAATTAGAGGTAATGCATACTGATCTCACCTCATTGAGAGGTGAGATCAGTACTCTGAGAACCAACATTGAATCCATAAAGGGATCCATTTCCACCATGCAAACCACAATAGAAGCCACGGTCAACAGAGTGAATGAAATGGAAGGTAGAGTGTCAGATACAGAAGACAGAATACACCAACTGGACCAAAAAGTGACAGATATGGAAAAATCACTCAAATTAAACCAAAGGGAAATTCAAGAGCAAGCAGATAATGCTAAAAAATTTAACTTTCGCATAATCGGAGTGGACGAAGGTGAGGAATTCCAGAGCAAGGGAATGCAACACCTATTTAACAAGATAGTCAATGAAAATTTTCCCCACCTCAAAAACGACCATCTTAACTACATCACAAAAGCTTATCGAACACCCAACAAGCAAGATCCCAGGAGAAACACTTCTAGGCACATAATAGTAACAATGATGGATCTGAATAATAAGGAAACAATCCTGCATGCAGCAAAAATGAAGAAGGAGCTATACTACAACGGGAAAAAAATTAGAATCACTGCAGATCTCTCCACACAAACAATGAATGCAAGAAAAGCCTGGGAAAGCACCATACGAGCCCTGAGAGCCAATAACTGCCAACCCAGACTGATATACCCGGCAAAGCTAGCATTCACATTCGATGGAGAACTGAAAACTTTTAATAGCAAAGAAAAACTAAATGAATAATAAACATTAAGCCAGCATTACAAAGAATTCTAAGAGGGGGGACACAACCTGAAGAAAGCAACCAGGAACTGGGACCTGCCCCAAACAGGCATTACTCAAAGTCTAACTGAGCAAGCACAGGAGGAAAGGAAAGAAGAAAAACTTAGGAAAACGGAATGGCAGGGACAACAATGCATCTCTCTATACTTTCTCTTAATATAAATGGGCTGAATTCGCCAATTAAAAGAAAACGAACTGAGGACTGGATCAGAAAACAAGACCCATCCATCTGTTGCCTTCAGGAGACCCACCTCTCAGCCAAACATACAAACAAACTCAGAGTGAAGGGGTGGAAAAGGATCTACCAATCAAATTCCCCCAATAAGAAAGCAGGTGTAGCTATCCTGATATCTGACAAAATAAACTTTTCATTAAAATCAGTACAGAAAGACAAGGACGGACACTACATATTAATAAAGGGAACAATCCAAGAGGAGGATATAACCATCATCAACTTATATGCCCCAAGTATTGGTGCACCCAGATATGTTAAACAAATGCTCTCAAACTTACAGAATAAAATAGATCCCAATACGATAATACTAGGAGACTTTAACACGCCACTCTCACCAAAGGACAGGTCTACCAACCAGAGAATTGGCAAAGAAGCTACCGAATTAAGTGAGGCCATACTTCAAGCGGAATTAACTGACATCTACCGAGTATTTCACCCTAAAACAACACAGTACACATTCTTCTCAGCAGCTCATGGAACTTTCTCCAAAATAGACCATATCATAGTTCATTCAAGGAACTTAAGCAAATACAAAGGGATCGACATAATCCCCTGTATCCTATCTGACCACACTGGAATCAAGCTAGCTCTCAATAACAAAGCATACCGCAGAAATTTCTCTAATACATGGAAATTGAACAGCACACTCCTTAACAAGGCCTGGGTAACAGAAGAGATCAGAGAAGAAATAAAGCATTTCCTAGAACTCAATGAAAATGAAAACACCTCACAAAGAAACTTGTGGGACACAGCAAAAGCAGTCCTGAGGGGCAAATTTATTGCCCTCAGTGCCCACATCAAGAGAATGGAGACAGACCAAGTAAATAATCTCATGTTGCAACTAAAACAGCTAGAAAAACAAGAAAAAATGGGACCTAAAGCTACTAGACGAAGCCAGATAACCAAATTGAGAGCAGAGATTAACCAATTAGAAAATCAGAAAACCATAACCAAAATAAACCAAACAAAAAGCTGGTTCTTTGAAAAAATAAACAAAATTGATGGCCCGTTGGCAAGATTAATTAAAAAAAGAAGAGAGGAAACCCATATTAATAGGATTAGGGATGCCACGGGAAACATCACAACACGTACCCAAGATATCCAAACAATTCTAACAGACTACTTTCAAAAGCTATACTCTCTAAAGGAAGAAAATCTGGCGGAAATGGATGCATTTTTAGAGAAATACAAGTTACCCAAACTGAGCAAAGAAGAAGTTAACCAATTAAATAAGCCAATATCCTATAATGAGATACAGGAAGCTATCAAAAGTCTTCCAACAAAAAAAAGCCCAGGACCAGATGGATTCACAGCAGAATTCTATAAGACCTTTAAAGAAGAACTAATACCCATACTCCTCAAGCTCTTCAGAGAAACAGAGAAGGAGGGAGCTATCCCAAAC